TATTTTTGGTTTATTGGTTATTGAATGTTAAAATTGATGGATTTTTATTTATTCTTGCAAGCAAGGAGTTTTTGAAAAATAAGGGAATCTTTATGATCTTTATGATATACAGTAAAAAAGAAGGCAAAAATTACAAAAAATAATCTAGCTATTTTCAAACTTGAAAAGGAGCTTAAAATTGTTACTGACTAAGGAATTTATATTTATTGATCTCAAAGTTTATAATAAAAAAATAAAATCAAGAGAGTTTTTTTTTATGAAAGTAGTTTGTTGTGTTTTAAATGGATGGATTGAAAAAAAAAACTAATCTAGGAAAACCTGGCCTTGTTGTTGATGTTAAAACCGTTAATTTTAATAGGCTTCAAGGTCATAAAAAGTGGTTGTTATGGTAATTTTTTCATCTATTTACTTTACATATAAATATTTATTATTATACTTTTTTCTATTTTTTTTCATTTTTAATAACTTTTTTTTTCAACCGTTTGAATTTATTTATAGTCCCTTTTAGCTCTCTTTAGATACGAGTCATAAATTTTTTATAATTTTATTTATTGGTTCTAATCAATGGGATTTCTTTATGGATTGAGTTTGTGGGAGTCCTAAATGATTTTTCTTTCAATTTAGATTGATAATAACTTTCACCAACACTATCAACATCAACAACCAATATAAGGTTTATTATTGAGTTTTTACCTTTTTTTTGGTATATATATGATTGGCTAATAGGCTTGGTTGATACAAACATAAAAAAAAAAATGTGAGTTTTGAATAATAGGATTTTTCTAGGATTTTAGTTTATTGTGGCCTTTAAATTCTTTTTTCTCTTCAAATTTAGGGTGGTAACACCTGTCATTTGCGGTGTCGATAACAACTTCCACTAGTAGCATCTGCAACAACAACTAAAATGGCAACTGTGTGTGTTCTTAAGTTTTTTTCTTAAATAATTGATCTTTTTATATTGCTTGGTTCTCAGTTTGGCTAACGAGTTTCATTAACATAGGATATGGAACTTAACTAATGGGATTGATAAATGATTTTAGTTTACTATTGGTTTTAAGTTCTTATTTCTCTTTAGATTTAAGATGATAATAACTTTTGCTGGCAACATCAACATCGATAACCAAAACAACAACTTAATAGATTTGTTCTTAAGCTTTATTTTCTTGACTAACTATTTTTTTTGCATGCTTTATTTATGTACTTGGTTCATGGATTTCCTTGATTTTTGAGATTAGTTAATAAGTTTATATTGTTCTTAACCATTGAAGAATTGGATGTTGGTTTTTTTTTTTTTTATCTTTATAGTAATTTCTTTTATAAGCTTGACAAGGAGTTGTTAGAGAGTTTAGTTAAAGTTAATGTTTAGAATTGTGTTTTTTTGAGTCTAATATAAGGTTAGTTATTTTTTTAGTTAAGCATTACTCGGAATTTAATATTTGTCTAGTTTGGTATTTTTTTTCCTTTGGCATTAATGGATGGCCAACTAAGCTTAAAAAAATTGAAGTTAGAGGTTCTATGAGCCTAATTGGGATTATAAAAATAAAAATTAAATATTTGAATTATTAAGTCATTGTTGAATAACTAAATAGTTTTTTAATTATATTTTATTTGCGTTAAAAAATCATTTAGGTTGCTTAAGTTTTCCTTCAATGTAGGTTAAAATAAGGATGCATAAATATTTGTTTACAATAAATATGTAATTATGCCTTTATAATAGATCCAAATATTAACCATAGTTCATAAATGGTTTTTAAAATATCAAGTAATAAATTGATTTTTAATCCTTTTCTATTAGTAATTTTATTCCTATTTTATATTTTACTAAAATTTACTACAAATAGTAACTTGATTATATTTATTTTGGTTTCATGGTAATAGATAGAGATATGTAAGATATTTCACACTAGCCATTGAAAAAAGTTGTTATTGTTAATATCAACTTTAGTACTATAATTGTTATCATTTTGATCCTCTTTATATTATTTATATTAATGTTAAAGCTTAAACCTCTCCTTTTGTTTTATTTAGATTTTTCTCATTGTGATTTGTTTATAAAGTTTTAATTTTTGAAGATTTGGAGTAGGTTGCTTCGATTTTTATATATCTAACTTATATGTGTTATTAAGAATGTTGATTAATTATAAAGGTGTTTATATGTTGAATACAAGAAAAGCAGGATTAACGATTCTCATATTCCATGTTTGTCTTTTGATGTGTGGATTTGTTTTATGTAGGTGTGTTTCTACAACTCGTATTCCAGTTGATTTCAATGATTGTTCATGCTTTTAGTTATTTTTAAACCTTATCTTTTTTAGTTGATTCTTTCTTTTTTATTTTTTTTCTCAATAATTACCGTCGTCTAAGTTTTGATATACCTTAGCCAAATGGATTTAGTTGCTTTTCTTTTCATTGTCTTTTTTATCCAATGCCACTGATGCTTGTTTGTACATGTTTGATTTCTCAATGGCTATTTTTTCAGAAATTTCCCTTCCACTTGCTTTTATTTATAATAATTATATATTTTTTTTCTATTTTGTATAAAGTTTTTATCCATTTCTTATCTTCATTTTTTCTTCCTTCTCTTTTGCCTTCTACCCCTTTTGCCTCTTTTCCTAATGTTATTGTTTTTTTTTTCTATTTGTTTCTATTCTACATGTTATTGTTAGAGTTTCTTCCCCTGCTCTTGTAATTATTGTTTTTTATTGAAAATTGTTGCCTTTTTTTCCATCATTGGTTAGGGTAATATTTTTTTCATTGGCATTTTGTTTTTCCTTTTTGACTATCGATTATGTTGGTGTATTTAAAATTTTGATTTTTTATATGTCCCATTTAGATCTCCTACTTGCTCTGATTATTATTTTGGAATAATCATCACAATTTGGATTGGTTCTCAGCTTAGCTTACGTGTTGTGGATGGTTCCAACCTAGGAATGCAAATAACAACTACGGGAGTAAAGTATAAGATATTTTAGCAAAATAACCCTAAACTCTCAAATTAATTGGCTAGTATATATAAACAAGCACAATAAATCGCACAAGAACATGGTTTAACAACTTGAGCCACCAAAGTAGGTTATAAAGAAAGTCATTATAAAAAAGTATAAGATTACAAGTTCCCAAACAAAATTGTTTTCTCATCCAAAATTTTAAAGTAACCAAAAACTCATATTTTCTCTTATTCTTACCCTAAAATATGATAATTTTAGATTTTTATATAAACTAAATACTTGAGTAGTATTTATTTTCTTACTCAGATCTATAATTTATAATAGACTCAATAAATCTTTATATTGGCTTAAATTTAGCCAACTTGTAAACTTAAACTTATTTTTTATCACTTTATATAGTATCTTTCAAGAACTATATAAACCAATCAAATCCAAGTAATGTTTTAACTTGATTGTAGAGATGGGCTTCATCAACATATTTCTAAGATTTTTTGGTATGATAATCTTCTTAAATGATTCAATATTTTATGATATAATATCTAGAATAAAATTATACCTTATTTTAATATATTTTATCCTTTTATGGTATGTCTAATTCTTAACTAAATGGATAACACTTTAGCAATTACAATGCATAACAATGGATCCATATGGCAATTACCAATCAAACCTCTTAATTATAAAGCTTCTTTTATTACCTCTATCAATGTCATATATTTAATCTTTATTATAGGTAAAGCAATAATGGATTGCAAAATTGCTTTTTAACTAATGGCACACCCCGAAATAATGATAATATAACCCATCAACGATCTCCTCCTATCTAAATCACAAACATGATTTGAATATATAAAGCCTTCAACACTACCTCTAGTTCTACAACCATTATCATATATCAAACCAACTTCTATATATTTTTAAGATAACATGGTATCTATTTCACAACCTGTCAATAAATTTTACTTCTTATGTGAAATATTTAAACGAGTGCAAACAATAGCATACATTGCTTTTAATTGCACTAGCATATAAAACACTTGACATGTGCTTCATTTCTTCCTCAAACCCGAAGATAACCTGAAATAGGTTTCACATGGATTACTCATTAGCTTT